AAAGTTACCCCTGGTCCTGCCTCCTAAAATTTCCATCTTTCTTTCCAGAAAGCAGCATCTGTACAAATCCCACTGCTTCTGACGACTATGACTTCTTTGATAAACTACCCATGTGTGTGGGGAGGGACAGAAAGATGGAGGAAGCAAATGGGAAAATGAGTTTTCCTCTCTTCAGATTAATGTATATGAAGTATACATCTGACACTTCATCAGCACTCCCGGCTGGTGTCCCAGCAGGCGGACACTGGCTGAGCATGTATTCTGCCAGCTACCAGGCTACTCAGGATGAATTGGCAACATGCCATTTATCTGAAATGCCCAATGTGTCTGGAAGAGGGAACACAACTAGATTTAGCATTGCCAAGGAAAACTAGATACTTCAGGCTAGGAATTAATCTCCTCCTTGAGAAGGTAGTTAGCATTACCTTCAAGTTTGCCTATGGCATTTAAATCACTATAGGTCATACATTTACTAAAATTCATATGTACCAAACCACAAAGCCTTCATTTATATCTTACTAACATATTAATACCTATCAGATGGAGGGTCTACACTTTTCTGAAATGTTGTTGCAGTAGAGCATGGAATTCTGTTATATCAAGAGTAATGCTGTCACCCAGACATAAGCCATCTTGATGCCTTACTTTTCTAATTCTTCCACACTTGGACATGCATTTTGCTCCAACTTATTCAATGAATTGACAAAATATTTAAACCAATATGACTATAATCATGATTGCCGAAAAGCAGATTAATGAAACTTCCTTAAATATGGACAAATATAAGCTCTTCACAATTTGGTTTCCATATATATATAATTTTTTTGAGCAGCTGATGGGGAATTAAATGGGATTTGGCCTATCACATGGTCTTTAAGGTTAATGGTAATTGTAAGATGCACAATGAAGAGTAAACCAGAGAGGTTTTAGATGGATGGTCTCACCAAACCCCCCATTTAGGCACACCACCACTCTCACCTTGAAACTAAAGGAATCTGTCACTTTTCCGGTAATGATTATCCATTTCTTCAATATTATTTACTGAATACCTCCTATGTGCAAGACACTGTACTAAGAGCAGCAGTGAACAGAAAAATAATCAGGTAAGAATTCTGCCCGCAAGGAGCTTGCAGTCTAGCAGGGACATATCAGTCATACACACAAAGGACAAAGAGGTATACCATGATAAATGCTAAGGGAATCAGGGAGAGAAGGTGACTTATAGCTCTAAGATGGGGCTACTGGGTAGGAACAGTGGCCAGGAGGACTGGATCAGTCAGTAGGGCATGTTCTACTGTGCAATGCACCTCCACAAAATTCAGCTTCCTTGTAAGACAAGGTGAAGAGGGGGAGAAGAAAAACAAGAGAGTTCTAAAATATATCAATATCCACCCCTTCAGCATCATTTTCTAGCAAATCTGTTAGTTGTAATCTGCACACATAATTTGGGCATACTTCAATTCAAACATGGTAGAAATGTGAAGCAGATAAAACTTGATGTCCTTTTAGACATGTGGTCCTAACAGCTCAAAAGTCCATTAGTTTGTACCTGAGTGACAAATATTTAAACATCATGGTGACGCACTGAAACATCACACCAGAAGACAAGGAAATCAAGATGGTGCTCAGCTGGGAGCTCTCCTCTGACTGCTGCTGCCCTTATACAATAGTAGGTTGGGAGGGAAAGAGTTTTCCAATAGACTACAATTAGGAATTAAAGAATCCTCTGAAGGGAAAGATATGAGGAGGGTTAAATGTTCAATCTTCACTATCTATCAATAAATGCTAATTATATTCTGACTTCTGTGCCCAGATTTATTAACAACATGATAATAACAGACATATTAATATTCCTAGCATTTGGACTTGTTACATGCCAGTTAACTATTTAAAAGTTGTTCTATGTGATATTTCAGCATTTTCTCCAGTGCAACAAAAGCAAACACTATAAACATAAAACTTGCAGTTGTAACAGCTAATAATTTAAGACATTCTTTGATAACAAAGTCATCTGACAAATTGCAAGCAATGCTCTTTTATGCTTCCTAATAATAGTTCATATTTTTATATCCTATTCCCAAATATCTTAGGTTGCCTGACATGCATTTTAACAATGATTAAATCAGCTTCTGTATCTGGGTATGTGACAACTACTATCAGGTACTAAGATACAATACTTGGTGACAGTGCTGTTTTAATCAGAATGATTTACTTGGCAATAAGCCTAAAAGATAACTATTTGTGTTAAAAGATAACTATTTGTGTTAAGCATAGTGTTGTAGTGGCTGAAAAACACATCTGTCAAAAAAGACAAATCATGAATTATAAGGTATTTTCCTACTAAATTCTTACAGTTAACTAACTAAGCTTTTAACAAAATTCCCTAAGGAGGAAAAAGTCACTTTGGTCAGGGGGAGGGGATAGTGGAAAATGCTTTATCTACATTGTTTTAACTGTATCTTTAAAAATAAGCCCAAGGGTTGGGAATGCAGCTCAATGGTACATTACTTGCCAAGTCCTGGCTTCAGTCCCCAGTACCATGGGGAAAGAAAAAAGTCTCATCAGGAAAAAGATGACTTTTGGCTTAAGGATAATTGTTAATTTTGAAGTCACAAAATATCCTAAAAGAAATATTTCTCTGGAGATAATAATTCCATAATTCAGAATATTAATTATTCTGAGAGTAGAATCAGAGAAGTTCAGAGTTGAAAGGGACTTAATAGACTGTTTAATACATCTTTTCATCTTGCAGTTACAGACAAGGTGATAAAATTTGAGAAACTAGGGGCTGAGACTGTGGCTCAGTGGCAGAGCGCTTGCCTAGCATGTGTGAGGCACTGGGTTCGATCCTCAGCACCACATAAAAATAAAGTAAAGGTATTGTATCCATCTACAACTAAAAAAAAAATTCTTTAAAAAATTTTGAGAAACTAAGTGACTTGCCTACATTTATATTATATAAATGTATTATATTACATTCTATTAATTACTTAATAGAAGAAGTAGCACTAGAGGCTGGACCTACATCAAATCTCAGAGCTGGGTATGATGGCACACATCTATAATCCCAGCAGCTCCCAATTCTCCTGCAGAGGCAGGAGAACTGCAAATTCAAAGTCAGCCTCAGCAATATAGTGAGGCCCTAAGCAATTTATCAAGATCCTGTCTTAAAATTAAAAAATAAAAAGGGGTTGGGCATATGGCTCAGTGGTTAAGCATCCCTGAGTTTAATCCCTGACACCAAAAAAAAAAAAACAACCTAAGTCAAACCTCAGTATATTATTGTAAGATTATCAAATATCCAGTATAATTTAATATCAATAAATAAAATATATATCATTTATAATAATACATATTATTATATATTTTATTATAAAATACATATTCTTTATAATAATAAAAATCAGTAAAAGATGTTTAAAAATCTATTTCCATGCCATACAACTCTACCACCAATGTAAAAACTAACTTACTTGTACATTTTTCTAAGCTGAGAAGAAGCTTCAGGTGGAGAAGGATGCCCACTAAACACAACAACAAAAAATCTAATAAGCATATGTTTAAAAATGAAGGTCTATATTTGGAGAAGAAAAGGAAAGTGCAAGTTCATGTTGCTAACAAATATTCATTCCATGTGCCAACTGGTAAATATGAAGAGTCCTGGTATGGGAAAAGCGAACTCCTCCCCCCTGTCCCCATGCTGAGATTGGAATATAAGTTAAGCAAGTACTTTACCGCTGAGCTACACTCCTAGCCTACACCATTTTAAATCATCCTAGAAAAGAATGATCCTAGCAAGAATCACTAACAGATGGTAAATATAGGGGAAATATTTTATGAGAAGCATGTTTGCATGCCTTGAAAGTATCTCCCCACAGATTGCTTATAGATTATGAGGGGGAAAAGACATAACTACAGTGGAAAAATTGGGCAACACCTTGACTGAATGATCAAAATTAACATCATAGTGAGGGACAGATGGACATGATGCCCTGAGGACACATCACCAATGCCTGATTCTGGTCTGAAATGCTAAAACCTGAATCTCACCATGGGAAACAACAGAGAAATGTAATATAAGGAATGTTCCATTAAAAAAAAAATTCTACAAAAATGTCTATGTCAGAAAACACAAAGGGGCTGGGATTGTAGCTCAGTGGTAGAACACTTTCTTAGCATGTGTGAGGCACTGGATTCAATCCTCAGCTCCACTTAAAAATAAATAAATAAAAGAGGTTAAAAAAAAGAAAAGAAAAGAAAAAAGAAATGCTTTCAACAACTTAAAAAAAAAAAAAAAAGAAAGGCAAGACAAAGTATATGGAAAACATCCCAGATTAAAGAACACTAAAGAGGTAGGCAATTAAATACAACACATAACCACAAGTTGGATCCTACACTAGAGGAGAAAAAATGTTATAATGGACATGATTGAGTACATTGATTAAATTGAAATAAAGATGACAGTAGATAATAGGATTGTGTTGGCCACAAATTTACTCAAGTTGATAACTGAGATAACAAACAGCTGTAATATAGATAACCAAAAATAAATTTCAAAAGTATATGAATGTGCATATACATATGTATACACACATACATACAGATATGTATTTATATACACAGAGAAAACACTTAACAGAGCAAATCAAGATGTTATTTAATTGAATCTAGATTTAGAATAAACTGGAGCTCTGTGTTTTTATCTTATCCTTATAATCTTTCTCTAAGTTTGAAATCAAAAATTTTTCAAGATATAAAAAGCCTACAAACATTTCCATTTCTTTGGGAGTACAGGTGGTAAACGGTCGCAAGTGGAAATACTCCACATGTGGAGGGGTGGCGGTAAAAATCAGCACACTGAAAGCAAGGTATTTCATATTGCCACATCTGTACATAGTGCTACATGAGTGTAAGTTTGTACCAAATTAAACTCAACAAACCTAAGTACACCAGGCAGGAGATGGGTTGGACCACCTGGACCCACCAATGGGAACACTCACCAGGCTGGCAGTGAGCGAGGGCGCCGACTGGCCCAGGGCCTGGCTGCGCATGCGCACGAGGTTGGATGTCTCTGCTGAGGCTGGCCACGCCTGGCCAGCCACTGCATTTGGAAGGAGGTATCGTCCTGTTGAGGTTTAAAAAAAGAAAAAGAAAAAAAAAAAAAAAAGATAATATAAGTCACAGGCAGACCGCAATAGCTCTATGACAGAGTTGGGTGTCTTCCTATCCGTCTTCTCTTTTACTTCTGCCATAATGGGTTAGATTATGTTGTTAACAATCAGAGAAAAACTGTTTCAAGTCAAGAGATCGCGGGCGTGTTCTGACCCTGACTTTCCACAGAGACCCAAGCAAATCTCTTGATCTCCTGCACAAGTAGCTTCATCAGGGTAGGATGAAGTGGTTTTTCCCATCTGCATATTCCATTGGAATGTGTTGAGAATATACATTAATACAAAAAGTGTTCCCTGCATCATGGAAATAAATGCATGCGTTTATAAATGTTATTTGAAAAACTCTAATGCAGAAAGAGTAGTGATCTAGGAATCAACTGAAAAAGAGTCTACACAGTGCAGATCATGACCGACAAAAGGAAGGGGTGGAATTCTTTCAAGGTGAAGTGGGGTTGATGCCCCTTTTCTCAGCTTCTCTCTCTGAAGCGCTGGTGACCATCCAACCATGTCTGCAGCATACATAATGGTACCCATTTGCATAAATCAGGACATCAATGTCAGTCTAGGTTCACTGAGCAATTTCCATCAACCTTGAACTCTAATATACACAGTGTATGCTTTTAAAAGTCAAATAGCTGAACCAATTCACATTGTTACTTCCTTGGTACAGGAATTAGACAAGCATTGATATATATAAGAAATGAGGTTTTTGACTTCAGAAAAGTTAGGGTGGCCACGATCATTCACATAGTAATGAAGCTCAGTATAAACAGTCCCTGTCTGATTTTTATCTGCTTTGCTCCAATACTAGCACATGACTTGGCCACCACTTATTGAATGATGACAGGGTGAGTGAGCATTTTCTTCCCAGAAAACATAGGGACAATGAAAAGATGGACTCTCGTTGGAGGGCCAGATTTGTGAGGACTCCAGCTTTATTTCAGTAGCATCTGTTCCTTCTTTTTCCCTTATGTATGCACCCAACAAGCACATCCCACTGGTTAATAACTATTATAATCTATTAATTATCAACAATATCAAAACACAGGAACTTGGAGCATCTCCCAACCATTGCCCAGTTAAGTGATCTAATGATTTATTTAACCCACGTGCTTTCAGAAATTTATATTTTAAATACAAAAGGAAAATGACATTTTGTCAAAATCGATCTTTAATTCTCTTATTACACAGTGAAATTGCAGGCTCTAGATAAACACTAGACCTGCTTTTGAGATTTTTCCCTATAGCTGAACAACATTGGGGGAGGAAGTTAATCAACCTCGCTTTGCCTTTTTTTTTTTTTTCACCTCTAAAATGGAGATGATAGAATCAACTACATAGAATTGTTTAAAGGATTGTGTGAGTAAAGCACTAGTAGATGTTAGCTATTTAGTCAAGATGAAAAGCATCTATTCTGATTAGGCTATGTTTCTTTTCATTCAAAAGTAGAAAATGTTGCAAACAGAGAGAAGAGATATGATAAATGGTGGTATAAAGGTATATTAAGAATTGTATGCAAAAAAATAAGAGAGCTCATGTATAATGGCATAACTTGGTGTGAACATACTTTATATACAGGGTTAAAAAAAATTTGTGCTGTGAATGGATAATTATGAATGTAATGCACTCCACTATTGTCATCTATATAAGAAATAAATAAGAAGAAGAAAAAAAGCAAATAAAATACTTTTTTAAAAAAGTAGAAAATGTACAAATATACAAAAAAAAAAAAAGTCACCTAGAATCACACCAATAAAAATGACTCTGGACATGTCCATGATTTTCCTTCAGACTTTCTTTCTACAACCTACATTTTCTTACAAAAATAGTATCACATTGATTTTTATCACCTGCTCCCTGCCATCCACGCATAAGAGATTATGACCTTTTCCAAGCAAATAAACACAGCAACTGTCAATTAATTGGAACATGAACACTGTCATTGAAAACTCAAATATAATTAATTACCCTCTGTGATTCTGATCACGGTCTCAAAGACATTCAGACATACTTTGTTGAGGGGAATTTAAAATATAAAATCCAGAATTTTTATTTTTCCCTAGCCTTATTTTGAAATGTGAACTAAAAGCTGGACTAAGAGGGTTTTGAGAAAATTTTCCTTTTTAGGCTTCAAAGCAGGACACTTAGGGCAGCAAAACCAGACTGAATTTAGGAACGCAGAATTAGTATGACTTGAACAAATGGTTTCTTTAATAATTCTATCTGAAAGACCTCACTTGTTAAAAATATATCAACCTATTCAGTAATCTGAATGCATAGATTTGGGGGGAGGGAGGTCTGTCCTGGGTCTCTTCCTATGTCTTTGATCTTATATTTCTTTTGTTTGTGTTTTGGAGAGAGACGCGAAAGGGTACAGAAGCTACATGATGTTAACATTTAAATGATAGAGAATCCTCGCTGGCCTTACATTCATTCTGCCCCATATACTTTCTTTTTAAGAAAACTAATGGTAGGTGCAAAAACATCTGGAGAATCTAGTATAATTAGAGAAAAATTTAAAGGGCAAATATTTTATTTCATGGAAAATGTATACAAATTAGTCTCTCTCTCTCTCTCTTTTTTTCCTTTTAGTAGTACCTAAAGAAATTTAACAAATATTAAGCTTTGATGAAACTGGCTAGTAGCTATATGCAGTTATATTTATTCCCTATTTTTTACTGTATATGATATTTTACAATATTACTTTTAATAGTTCTTATCAAAAAATGTGTTCTATACTCTCACATGTTAAACTACCCAGGAACACTGGCAGTCCCTAAAGCCCAAGTGATGATGGGGACACTCTAAGGGTCCTAGTTGGCAACGCAAGAAGTCAACGGAGAGGTCTGAGACAGGTAGTGGGAAAGAAGGAACCATACAGAACCTCCTCATCACCAAGACCAGCTCCTGGATAATCCTCAGTGCAGTACAGTCATGTGTTAGGATCCTGAGTGACTGAGACCAGGCGTAGCCCAGCAGGATGTAAACCTCTGGACAGAATCCAGAACCAGCACCCTGAGCACAATAAAGGGACCCAGGCCCAGACCCTTTCTCTCTGTATACTTTGAGTCACATTTTGAATACTTCCATTTTGTTAAATCTCACAGGTTGTTTCAAGGTAAGTCAGCACACTGGAACCAAACTGGTAAACCCGTAACAAGATTTGCATGCTATCTTGTCCTCCTCTGGAATTACTGTTGAATTTAACATAATCATGTATGTCTTACTTGTTGCTAGCTCATGTGTAAATCCAATCTTGGTAATTAACAAAAGGAATGCCTTCAATTCCTTTGTTAGCTTAACAGAGCCTAACCCAAAAGATGACACTTTGACATTCAAAAACAGTTCTAGCCTTAACCACAGGACAGAAAGGCCCTTGCCAGTAATAGTAAAAATTAATTGCTCTGGTTTTACATGACTTTAAAGTCAGACTTCTGATTTCCAATTCTGTACCACACAGATAATTCCATTTCTATGTCCCAAATTTCTCCAAGCCTTAGGTTCTTCAGCTGTAAAACTTGCACAAAACAACATGACTGTTGGAAAGTCTAAGATAGAAAATATATTCAAAAATTAATGCAATCAAAGAAACTTTAAAAATAAAAAGTGCAAAGAACTACCCAACATACATGGAATTACAAAGAAAGGAAGAAATAAAGTCTTGTTAAGACAGTGGAAAAAAAAATAAATTAGGAAGCATTTATATACATATACAATGAAATGTTCATAGACCTATAATGGATAAAATTTTAGATACTATTGTTTGTACATAGATTTTTGTCCTAAGCAATCTTATGAATGTTACAAATTGGAGGGTCTGTTAATATATCACATGGGACATTTCATTCCTGCCTGGACCCCCATTAGTGTTAATAGGAAAAAGAGGACAACAGATGGATTTAAGGCAGTCATTAGAAGGCACTAACACACTGCCATAGTTGGTAGTGATTGCATCAAACTTTATATAAATTCACTTTCTGATGACTACCAAGAGCCTCTAGAAAGTGTGTTGCTGCTATATTCATGCATCATTTGCTGCCTACAATTTAAGAAAATTAGCATCTGTCAATGGCATTATTCAGCTGCACAGGGCGGAAATTAATGGATAATACCATTTCCAATTTGTCGTATGAGAGGTGAGCTTGCCTAGCAATCTGGTTGCTCTGTTTTAATACCAAATTGAGCTGCTTGTTCCAAATGGAACTTTGATCAGCTCTGTGCTCTTTAGAAACACATTTCTAAAATCCTGCCATGTTCATTAACATATATTAAATATTTTCTACATAGTACTATAACTAGAAATTTAGAGGCAATAAAGAGAAATCTGTTTTAAAGCTAGAATCAGTCAACCAGACTAATGTAAGAAACTATAAGATTTCAAACACAGAGATATAGATTGTTAGAACTTTTTAAACTGATTATTGTGACTTCACAGAATGAGAGTGGGAAGTCTTGCAGCTTTCTCTGGTTATATAGTAAGAATAGATTATTCAGTCTAAAGGCAGATTGTGCCTTGGTTCTATCTAGGCTATATGTCACCTCTCCTTGAATGTGCTTTCCTTTATTTCCATCCTGAATTCCAAGAAAACTAGAAGCAGGAACTTCATAAATGCAAGCTTTCAGATGAGATACATGCTTTCAAAGCACCCCAAAGGTACAACTGTCCCTAGGAAATAGGAAAACACCAAGTCAGCAATAACTTTCACAGAATGGTCATATAAAGAATTAAATATAGCCGCTGGAGATCTACTTTATCATTGGGGAATAATGGCACCTGACTAGATTTGAAAGCTTCCATTAAAAAAGCTCTGTGTCACCTGAAGTGCACAGATTGAGTAATCAGCCCGCCATCTTACATTTGGGGTTATTTCTCTTAGACTACAAGCAGGACATCAAAGAGAAAATAAAACCAAATAACTATATATTAAAAAAAAGAATTGTTTTGATATGACTT